AAAATTCTATATCTCTTTTCAAAGAATAGGGCCTCATTTTATACACCATGGGGGAGAGGGATGAGCCTCTAGCCATCAAGGCTGGCAACTAATGCTAGCAAAACTGCCCGATCAATTTTGTAAAACTGATGAGCCTTAAATGTGTGAGTTATATACACATTTATGAGGCAATTTCTTATTCAACCATTTTTCTCCAACAATTATTAGATTAGAGATTAAAATAAATTAAAAAAAAGATCATACGAAAAATATAATAAAAATAAAGTTAGAGATAATGATAGGATTGGGGATACCAAAAAAAAAATTAAAAAGGAAGAAATAAGAAATAAAGAAAAATGAAAATATTGGAGAAGAATAAGATAAATAAAAAATCAATAAAAAGAGATAAGGAGTCTTCGATAATAAAAAGATTTTAAAAGTTAAAAATTTAAAATAAAAACAATAGTAAGAGAAAAAAAATATTTCTTATTGGAGAAAAATAAGGATGAAAAATTAAAAATATAACTTTAAGAGAACAACATGTAGGAAATAGAATCTTAACTTTGCTTAAAAATTGAGTATGGAGACTTTAAAAATTTTAGAAAACACATTATATTTGCTTATATATATAGTATAGATATATACATACGTAAAAAGATAGATATCAAATCTAATTTAAAAAATAAAGATAAAAGTAAAATAAACATCCTACAAAAAAAAGAAGAGAGAAATGTGAAAATTCGGTTGTTGATAATCAAAATTTTAAAAAGATAAATATTTATGAGAGATTACTTATGAGTAAAAGATAATTTAATTTTGTTTGTTATATCAAAATAAAGGCATATATATTTTATTGAATAGTAGCAAAATAAATTTACTTTTTTAATAAAGTTGTAATAGAATAAAATATATTTATTTTTTAAATTGCATGCTTGATGTTGATTTTTTTTTTTTTTAAAAAAAAAAAACCCCATTGATAGAAAATTTTAAAATTGATGGTAGTCAATTGTTATCATTATAGCCTACAAAAAGAACTTTGGATAAAATCATGGATAGCCAATAAAAAATCAACACTCAGCATTAAATTTTACAAAAATTAAAAAAATGAAAAATTCAAAACAAAGTATTGGAATTCCTCTAATTATATAATTAGACATTTTAGTTAATTTTAAAATTTAAATGTTAAATCCAGTAAAATTATGCCATGTGGGTTAATTCAAAATTTAGATAATACACTAATAGATTTGAACCATTTTTTTTAATATTATTAAAAAAAATTCAAAAATTTAAATTAGGTATGTTTAGATAGAATTTAAACATTTTAAAATTTTAAAATTAAATATTGTTAGATGTACCTATTACTTTAAGCCAAATATATTTTTTATTTTTAAAAATTTTAAAATTGAGAAATTGTGTTTAAGGTTTTGAAGCTGTTTTTTGTGTGTGTATTTAATTGGACGTATATTGGTTGTAGACAATTGAGAGAGCTTGAAGGAGCAAATGTGAGATTAACTCTATGCATAGCTGATCTTCTTGATTTCGAGAGTTTATCTGAAACTATTAATGGGTGTGATGGTGTGATAGATATGAGATAGAATAAAAAAAAAAAAATTAAATTCAAGATTTGATGAGTTTCAAATATGATTAAATTGAAGAACAAATGCAATTCACAATTTTTTTTTTTTATTTTAAAAAAAAAGTAAGCCCAAATCATGTAAAATATAATAATGAAGATGATGAAAAGATGTGTAAATGAATTGAAAAATATTAGGGAAAAAATATACACACATAAAAGTAATAGACATTGGAAAAATACATATAAAGTAGGAAATAATATTAGGATCATAAAAATGGAGAAAATGAAAAGATGTGTAGATGAATTGAAAAATATTAGAAAAAAAATATATGCACACAAAGTAACAAACACTAAAAAAATACATAGAAAGTAAAAAATAATATTACACTGACCTTGTAATGATTTTCACAGATCATCAAACTTGCAAAATATAACAATCGAGAAGATGAGTTATTTTGAGAAAAAGATAGGTAGATGAGAGAGTGATTGAATGTAATAATGGAGAAGATGAAAAGATATGTAGATAAACTGAAAAATATTGACAATATATATATATATATATATATATATATATATATATACATACAAAAGTAATAAACACTAAAAAAATGCATATAAAATAAGAAATAATATTAGGAGCATAAAAATGGAGAATATGAAAAGATGTGTAGATGAATTGAAAAATATTAGGGAAAAAATATACACACATAAAAGTAATAGACATTGGAAAAATACATATAAAGTAGGAAATAATATTAGGATCATAAAAATAGAGAAAATGAAAAGATGTGTAGATTAATTGAAAAATATTATAAAAAATATATATGCACACAAAGTAACAAACACTAAAAAAATACATAAAAAGTAAAAAATAATATTGCACTGACCTTGTAATGATTTTCATAGATCATCAAGCTTGTAAAATATAACAATCGAGAAGATGAGTTATTTTGAGAAAAGATAGGTAGATGAGAGAATGATTAAATGTAATAATGGAGAAGATGAAAAGATATATAGATAAACTGAAAAATATTGGTAATATATATATATATATACATACATACAAAAGTAATAAACATTAAAAAAATACATATAAAATAAGAAATAATATTACACTGACCTTGTAATGATTTTTTTTCAGATCATCAAACTTGCAAAATGTAACAATGGAGAAGATGAGTTATTCTGAAAAATAAAATATGGATAGATGAGAAAATGATTGAATTTGATTGGAATAAATTGAATAGAGGTGTGTATGTGAAAATTATAGGAGTTTCGGGTTTTCTTTTATTATTATTAAATTGAGATTGAGAGTGAGATAGATATTATTGTCGGTGATGGACATATATGAATATTTTATTATTTGGGGATAAATATTATTGTTGGTGATGGATATTGATGAATATTTTAATATTTTATATTTTATATAGGGAGAAAGAGTATGAAAATGCTTGAAGAGGGAAAAGAGAAGTGAAAGACAGTGCCGCGTAATATTTTTTTTCTTTCAAAATTATGGGAATTTAGGATTCAAGTTTTGAAACTTTTTGACTTAACAATTACATTTGGTTATATATATAATATAGATAGATGCCATCTATTCTCCAACTATACTAACAATAGCAAAACAACCAACAAATAATTTAAGGGACCACTCTATCACCAAAAAAATATTTAGAACCTTAGGTGCCGTTCGGTAATACTTACGCTTTCAGTTTTCTGTTTATATTTATAAAAATTTAAAAAACTCAAATAAAAATTTGTTTGGTAAAATTTTTGATTTATAAATCAGTGGTCTCAGTTTATAAATTTGGCCAAAAACTGAAAACACAAAAAATGTGTTTCCGTTTTGAGTTTTGAGTTTTTTTTTTTTACTACCCAATACTAGCCACCACTCGCCACCATTTTTCACCACCGTCTTCCGCCACCACCCCCCACCACCCCCCTCCCACCTCCACCACCCACCACCACCCATTCGCTACCACCTACCACCCACCACCGTCACCTACCCACCCACCGCCACCACCACCCACCTGTCACTACCCACCACCACCCACCTGCCACCACTATCCACCCACCTGTTACCGCTTTTCACCACCATCTTTCGCCACCACCACCCACCCACCGTCACTTGCCACCATTTTTCACCACCGTCTTTTACAACCATCACCTACTGTAGACACCCCATTTTTGACCGACCTTGAGACTCAGACGTCACCAGTTGAGCACTCGGTGATGTTGCATAACGTGCTTGTTCAGAAGTTTCAGAGTCACGGCCGTGAGCCCTGCCTCCGGACTTCCGAACCCTCTTCTTTATCTATAAAAAAATAGACAAACTAATTTTCAAATTATATTTATGGTTTATTTTTTTAAAAAACTAATACATTAAACTGTGATCATCAAAGCACACTATTTTTTTTAAATGAATGATTTATTTACATAAACTTAAAAAATAAACAAACAAATAGAACTCATAGTAAATCTTACGAGTTTGAACAACACCTTCCAATCCCCTTCAGTTCATATAGCGGACTCCACACAAACTCAATCAAAAAAATTTACGTTTTTTTTGGAGCATTATTTCACTTGCATCAGCAATTATAATATATATATCTATATATATAATTGCCGAGGAACATGGTAATGTAAAAAAGGATGATATTACCAGTATATTTGACCAAGGAAATGCTTTACCAATCAGTTTGGTGATGACTTAGAAGGATGAGGAGCAACCAATAGCTTTCCAACATCAATATAAACTAAAAAGATGCGGGTGCCGTCCTCCTTGAGTCGAGTGCCGGACGAAAGCCTCCCTTTCTCGTCTAAAAAGCCTCCACGTAGCCGCCCTTCTCACAGGGACGTCCCCACTCGCTACCACCCGCCATCGTCACCCATCCAACCACCATCACCACCCACCACCCACCCGCCACCACCTACCACCACCAGCTACCCACCACCCACCGTCACCACTTTCCACCGCCGTCTTCCGCCGCCACTTGCCACCACTTGTCACCACTTGTCATTTCTCACTCTTTTTTTATATTTTTAAATTTTTTTAAACATTTTGTCAATTACCAAACGCGTTTGTAATTTATATTTTTTTAAAAATAAATAAATAATAAACAAAAATCAATTTATAAAATTTTTATAAATATAAACTGAAAACGTAAATGTTTATAAATTACAAGTTTATAAAACAGAATTTACTAGTCAATTTTCTTTATTTAATTCCCCTTAATGTTTTTTTATTTATTTAATCCTCCGGACCTATCTTACGAAAGGAAAACAGTAAGGCAACAGAGGATTAAGAACCAAAGACGACGACGTATTAGGTGATTTTGAAACAAAAACTCTAAAGTGAACGACGACGTGGTTTTTTGCGGCAACATTGTGCAACATAAAACGACCCCGTATGAGGTGATTTTGAAATCAAAACCCTAGATCGATCGTATTGTCTTCGCGCCATTGTTTGCTTTTCAGTCTGTCTTTGTGCCATTGTTTGCTTCTCATTCTCTCTCTCTCTCTCTCTCTCTCTCTCCCTCCACTCTTCAAGCAAATCTCAATCATGGTAGAACAGCTCCAATAGGTTGGCTTCATCAATCAGGGTATGGAACTCTCTCTCTCTCTCACCCCAACTCAAACCCCTTTCTCTCCCTCTTCAACTCAATATATGTATATATGCAATCCTAACCCTAACATTACATGTGTGTATGTTTATCTGTCAATACTACACTCACAAGTACTCACTTTGGGTGTATGTTTGAGAAACCCTAAAACATAACTCTGCATCTGGTTACATTTTGAGGTGCCTAATGTGTACAGAGAAATCTTTGGTTCAAATCCTAACAAATTGAATTTCTATTTATTGGTCATTACAATGTCTTTGTCTTCTTTTGAGTTGCTGAAGATTGCTTCTTCACTAAATTAGTTTGGTGTTTATTGAGTTTCTGTAGTTTGGGTAGGTTTGATTTTCCAGCTCTGTATGTCGAGTATGAAAATCGATCTGTTGTATAAAACTAATTTACCAATACTGAGTACTGCTTTTTGTAGAATTGGCTCCTCTGATGATAAAACATTTAACAAATATTAAAAATAAAAACAGAACAAAATTGGATCATGGATTGTAGTCCCCAGCCCTTATTACTTGAAATATTATCATTAGATAAGTTGTATAGATAATATCATATGATGGCATTATGCATTGATTTACATTTTACACTGATAGCAGCCTCATTTGTATTAATTTTTTTTTGTTTTCTTTCTATGTAGATTTTGTACTAGTACGTGATTGATTGGTTGAAGATGGATGATTTAGCAATTGCTACTCAAATGAGTGTTCATGGGAAGGATGATGTGCAATCAAAACGTACAATACGTGTGGAATTTGACTCGGAGCAAGCTGCATATGATTTTTATGCTTCTTATGGAAGAAGAGTTGGATTTAGTATTAGAAGAGGTTATGCTGCCAAAAGTAAGAGTGGTGAAATTACTTCAAGGACATTTGTTTGTTCTAGGGAGGGGTATAAAAAACCAGATAAAAGAGACTGTCGTGTGAAGAATGCTGGGCTAGATACAAGAACAGATTGTCGTGCTTCGATGAGTATTAAATTAAATAGACAAACTGGGAAGTATTGGGTTATCAACTTGGTTGAAACACACAACCATCCCCTTGTAGTAGGTGTATCTCCCGATCAAAAGAATTACCTACGAACGAAAAGACAGAGAATGATGGCTTTCGGAGAAGCAGGGATCATCTTAAAGTACTTTCAGAATCAAAGATTACAGGATCCTACATTTTTTTATGCTGTGCAATTGGATAGTGAGGAGAAAATTACTAATGTTTTATGGGCAGATACTAGAATGATAATGGACTATGGTAAATTTGGGGATGTTGTGGCATTCAACACAACGTACAAACTTGATAGAGAAAACCGACCATTTGTTCTGTTCATTGGCTTTAATAACCACCAAGAAACCATTGTTTTTGGGGCTGCATTGATGTATGATGACACAGTAGATTCATACGTATGGTTATTTCAAACTTTTTTAGAGGCAATGTCAAATAAGCATCCATATACTATTTTTACAGATCAAGATGCGACAATGGCTAGGGCCATTTCATTTGTGATGCCCAACACGTACCATAGGTTATGTACATGGCATATCAAGCAAAATGCATTGAAGCATGTGAATAGCATTTTCAAGGGTCCTGGTGGGGTTAGCGGTGTATTGGAAAAGTTTATGAATGACTATGAAGGAGTGGAAGAATTTCTTACAGCTTGGAAGGCTATGTTAGATGAGTATGGTGTTTACAATAATACTTGGTTGCGTAGCATTTTTGAGTTGAAAGAAAAATGGGTAAGGGCTTATGTTAAATGGGGATGGTCAGCAGGGATGAAGAGCACTCAACTTAGTGAAAGTTTAAATGCTGATTTGAAAGACTGTTTGAGATCAGATTATAATTTGGTACAATTTTTCACACACTTTGAGAGGATGCTTAATGAAAACCGGTATAAGGAGTGTGAATCTGAGTATGCATTGTCATACAAGTTGTCTGATATAATAAAAGTGCCAGTTCAGATGTTGATTCAGGCAGGAACTATTTACACCAGGGCTATATTTGAAGAATTCCAAGATCAATATGTGGGGGCACTTGAGCTATGCATAACAAATCGTGCTCAGGGAGTCAATTGTCTATTTTATACTGTTACAGCATATAAGCATGTTAGAATACATCAAGTCTGGATGGACAGAAATGGTTACGTCACATGTTGTTGTAGGTTGTTTGAGATGAAAGGTATCTTGTGCAGTCATGTTATAAAGGTCCTTAAAGATGAAATGAACATTATGGAAATTCCAAGTCATTATATCCTAAAAAGGTGGACAAGAAAAGCAAGAGCTGAAATGATTCAAGATTTTCTTGGATGCAATAGTGAGGTCGACCCTAAGTTGGAACAGAGTAGCCGATATAGGTCTTTGTGCTCCCTTTTTATTAAGATATTATCCAGGGCATCTGAATTGGAAGAGACCTATAAGATGTCAGTTGAGCATGGAAAAAATTTGCTTAAACTTGTTGAAGACATGTTAGAATCACACGTTAACGATCAAACACTTGATACGAGTCGCAGCTCTTCTTCCTTTGTAAGTGAGGACAATGATAAGGGAGGTTGCATGGAGAATAAAAATGTCACTCAAGCAAAGGGACTAAAGAAAAAGATTGTCTCCCACTATGGAAAGCGACGGCGATATAAACGTATCTTGGAAAAGGCATTAGTTTTGGCAAGAAAAAGAAAAAAATTTCGTCAGGTATTACTTCATTTTTTTCTTTTTAGGGTTCACTTTCTTAACTTTATTTGGGTTCATTTGATATAATTATTCATTTGTAGGCTGTACAAATACCTCCAAACGTGCTCCCATATTTAATGTCACAATGTGGTAACGTACCCAATTCAATGCCTTGGATATGGAATGGAATGCCTCAATATACCAATTTCCAAGCATTATGTCAAGGACCTTTTGTTAATTATGTGATTCAGCCATCCCAACGCTCAGTTAGCACACATTGTAGTCAGGTATGTAATATGAATCATAGTTTATAATCTTTATTTATGTACTTGTTAACATCTTCTTTTGTTGGTACTTGTCAAAGGTTGTCAATCTAAATATTGGTGATAATCGGCATACACCTGCAAATTCTGAACACCTCGGAGACAAGCCGACAACTTAGGTGGAAGTTTGGGTTGATGTGACCAGTTGCGAGAAGCAGCTTTTGGAACTGCTTGTGTATTGCTGTTAGATTAGCTACTAGTTGTGTTAATTTGTATTGATGCTTAAACCTGTTAATTTGTATTGGTACTTTGGATTGAACAGTATGCTATCTTTGCTTCATTGGCATGTTTTGTTGCAAAAGCAACTGATGGGAGTTGAGCTGGTCTGTTTTTTCTGTTTTATATGATAACTGTTATGTTGGCTTCTGGCCACCTGGTCTTTTCCTTCAATGGGGTCTTTATTTGTGTGATCGTTTTATTTTCTTTCATTTTAGTACTATTTTGTGTCTTTAATCAAATATTACACCTTTCCTGATCAAGAAATAAAATAAAATTCTGCACTGTTTCCCATTGCATCATTTACACAAATATATACTTGCCTTCTTGATATGTATTCAGTTTCTGGTCTGTGCTATGGAAAAACTATGGATACTATTGATCCTTGGCTTGTCCTCTGTTCATGTTCATGAGATGATTAAACTATTCCAGAAGAAACGTGAACTGTGAAGAAATGTTCCTATCATCTTTGCAGCAGCCTTATGGCCAAAAAAATCAATAACATTATAGGTTGGGGAAATAAAGATATAGACATCAATTCCACAATCTTGTTTACTTGTGAGTTACTGACATCTCTTATGTTTATGTCTTTTTGATCATTGTTTTCTTTATTTTTCTATACAAAAACCTCAGGATTAATACAAAATGTGCATACCAAAATGACGACGAAGGGGACAAGTATTTTCACTGTTGGATTACTACCAAAAAGGGATGGGTGTATACTAAGGGTTGTTTGGGATGATCTAAATAAGTGTATTTTTTGACTTTTTATGAAATATGGGTTGGGTTTGAAGTGATGTGATAGATAGGTGATGTGATTTAAATAAGATGATGTGATTTAAATATGATAGTGATTTTTTGATTTTTTGACTTTTTTGTGTTGTGCCAAACTTAGTCTAAGTTTAGGATGGCGACCATTAGGAAAGTTCCTAGAGAAGACGACAGACGTGCGTAGTAAAAAAATTTGATAAATTACTTTGCAACGATGCAGAACTGAACTTTACTAGATAAGCTAGTTGGAAGTAACCAACACCACAAAACAAGATGTGGAGGTAGTATTTTTTAACTGACAAACAAATCAAGCAGTAATAAAATCCAAGGAAAAAATAGTTATATTTTTAGTTTGATTTTTACTTTTTGAGTTTTGAAATTGACATTTTTTTTTTAATGTTTATCGATTTCTAAAAATTTCAGTCATTTAGAATTGAGTTAAATTTTGTTTTATGCTAAAAAATAGTTTTTTTTAAAAAAAACAACACAAAAAAGGACGTTTGGTGAATTGTTTGCGGAAGTATATTTTCAAGAAACAATTTTAAGTTGTATTTTGAACTATTAAAAATGAAATTCCCAAAACCAAAAATAATAATAGTTAAACAATATGAAAGCAGTTGTATTTTTAAGCTCCACATAGCAAACATAACAAAGGAATATGACAATGACAAGCATTTTAGATACTAAACAATTGAAAAGAAACTCGTAATAATTCAATTTTATTATAGTTTATTGGTATATATATGTACGCGCATTCATTATATTTGTTGGGTTAAGTTTTTTGAAAATTTTTCAACCAATAGATTGGCGAAAAAAAAATTAAAAACTCGTTTGGTTTGTTTTTGAGATTTTTTTTTTTAAAAAAATGAAAACTAATTTGATAAAAGTAAATATCAAAACAATATTTTTTTAATTTTTAATTTTTATTTCTAGCTTCCCAAAAGATAAAATTATGTAAAAATGATAAGTGTTTATTTTATTTTATTTATTTATTTCTTTCTTTCACCAAATTTGTTTTTAATTTACGCTTTGTTTGTTTTGACGTATTTCTTTTGTAAATTAATTTTACATAGAAAAAATGTTTTTTTTTTTCAATATTTGGTTGACACTTGAAACAAAAATATTTTATTATCTAAAAAAGAAATTTTAATTCAATAAAGTGTTATTTATGACCTTTTAGTGAACTGAGATATTTATTTGAAAAGACTAGATATGTTGAAAAAGTAGTGAGTGAGAGTTAATTTTGTAAAAATTGACTTAAGAAATTTTTAAAAGTAATTCATTTTTAGGAAAATGATGTAAACATATTTTCCTTAAAAAATGTTTTACTTACTTTTTGTTCAACTAAATAATGAAAAATAAGTAAAAATATTTACGTCAAAATAAACAGAGTTTTAAAAAAAATTCTAAGCCAAGTTTTTGAAAACCAAACCAAACATGACCATTATTTTCATATGATTTTCTTTTTTTTGAGACGAGTTTCTTTTTTAAAAGAATCAAAATAAATTGTTTTATATCCCTTCTTCTTTTGTTAAACTATATTGCAATCTATTGAAATTTTTTTCAGAAACAAATTTTGAATTCTCAACCAAATATATTATTAATTTTTTTTAAAAAAATGCAACATATATACTATTTTGGGACAATTACAAAAAAGAAAAAAGAAAAAGAAATTTAAACTTGTAAAAAAATAAATTCTGAATTTTTTAAATTTTGTCAGTTTAAATTATAATTTTTTGATTTATTTTTAATTTAAATCATTTGCCTATTCTTATTAAGTAAAATCAATAAAAAAAACTCAATATAGATAAACACAATATCTACAATACCATTTTTATTAAATTTAATGACTAAAATATTAAATGTTATCGATTTTACTTAATAGAAATAGATAAATAGTTTAGATTGAAAACTTAAATTGATAAATTTAAAAAATCAAAATTTATTTTGATATAAAACTAAAACTCTAAGTTGTTGTTATTGTCGTTGTTTTTTGTTTGTTTGTTTATTTACTTTTAAATTTTACTGACTATTTTTTTGCTCATGAAAAGAACAAAAGGTGGCCCTCTACGGCTGTACGTGAATGTTAATAAGGAGGAACTCAATTGGGAATCTTTACTGTAGTGTTGTCTCCACAGCGAAAGTAAATAACCCTATATAGCATGAATTATTGTTATTTGAATTATGCCATGAATACAGAAATCCATCATAAAATATATTAATAAATAAGATTTTACTTAGGTGAATGGAGTTTATTTTCTAAAAATCATGTATGTTTGGTTGATTTTTCAAAAATTATTTTTAGATAAATTTTCATTTATTTTAAATATTTTTTTTCTCATATTTTAGTGAAATTTTTGTGCTTTTTAGATATATCTAATCAATATGTATTTGAAAAGCCAAAAAAATTGACTTAAATAGATATATCTAATCAATATGTATTTGAAAAGCCAAAAAAATTGACTTAAATATTAATAAAAAAATTACTAAAAATAAACGAAAATTCAAAGAAAACGTTGTGTGCATTTTTGTTTGTTTTTAGTGATTTTTTTTTAATTTTATATTTTGATTAATTTTTTTTACTTTTTATGTGCATCTAATCATGATGTATCTAAAAAGTAATAAAAAATGACTAAAATACAAAAAAGTTTAGTAAAGACAAACAAAAAATCATATAAAAATAATTTTTGAAAATTAAAACCAAACAAAGCCTTATATGTTCATACATATTTTTGTGTTCAACTTTGATATCAGAAAAATGTAGTACAGATTCATTCTACATATGAACCTCATAATACACCCACTTGCCAATGAAGAAACGGGGGGGCATGTGACCCTCATTTTTTGAAAATTATGCTAGTACCCATGAATACTAAGAGTATTTCTAATAGATCTCTTATACAATTATACTAGTGCCCCTCCTAAATTATTTTAAGGTACCTAATAATTTTAATTTTTCAAGAAGAACCCATATACAATATTCTAAGAAAAAAAGTAATAATATACAAACATAACATTTGTACAAAAATTCTATACATAATGTATTGGCATACATCTTGTGATTTGTTCATTTTCTATCAAAACGTCCATTATTATCTTTGTAATTTCACAAATAATATTGACACATCATTTTGATAAATTTTTTTATTTGAATTTTGTGTTTGCAAATCACTTTTCATAAGAAAAACGTGAATATGTTCTTTGCCAATGGACTCTATCTCGCATATATTAGCATTCATTTTGTATTTCTTATCCATTTGCCTTAACTTTATGTGGGGATATATTTTCTGAGTACCAACACGTGGCAAGGTGACGCCGACGTTTTAGTCGAGGTGCCATGTGTCTTGGTCGTGACGCCGAGGTGATCTCGGTAAGGCCGAGGTTATCTCCGAAGATATTGGAATCCGAGATAAATGGATAAAAGATAAGGGACAAGAGTCCTAGAGTAAAGAGGAGACTTAGCCAAGATAAGGATAAAGCTCTTAGGGAGTTTATCTTTATCTCTTGAGGAATCCAAAGTAAGGACTGAATAGGAGTCCATGGAAGTCAGGCTTCTAGTGGGACTAGGTTTATGTTGGCTATAAAAAAGAGGCACCCCGTGGGTCTAAGGTACACAGTTTTATGCTTTGAATAGTAAGTTTAGCACTTGATTATCTTTGAGAGATATACTGACTTGATCGTCGGAGTGCCCTTGGGTGGAAGAGCCACCGTCGGAGCCTCTTCTTTCTGTTGCAGGTTAGCTGAAACCATCTATTCTGCCGGTGCTCTCCAGCTGGTTACTAAGCAGGCAGTGTGGTCAGAAAATCACCGTCACAATTTGGTGCCGTCTGTGGGAATCTTAGAGGAATAGATGGCCAGTAACGAACTGAAGGAAAACATTGGGGGCAACACTCCTGCTGGAAGTGGCAGACCAATTGACCTTGACATTGAAGGAGACAATCATAATGCAGAAACTCATGACCAGGGCCACGGAGAGAAAGACGTCGGCCAAGAGGGCGATACTTCGAAAAGAACAGACCAAGGCAGGTATTATAACGAAGATAACCTTCAGGTATGGAGGGATAGGTGCCTACGGAGGGATGAAGAAGTAAAATAATTGGCAAACAAGTTGGCAGACCTACAGTCGGTCGTCAACTTCATGATGCAAAACAATGTCATGCAGCCATCATACCCACTGCAGGATACGCCAATGCCAGCAACCAATACCCAGAAGAAAGGAAGAAGAACAATCCCCGAAGTCCCTCAGCACACCAGGAGTGGACGACACTCTCACCGATCTTCCAGGGAAGTCAGACGAGAGGAGCCAAGACAAGAGGGGTCCCGAAGGACGTATCACATGAAGGACCCAGAGCCCAAGGAACATCGGCATGTTCAAGGGTAGGCGCTCTGCTTTGACACAACACATAGAGAGAGATCAAAACAAGCCCATCACGAGGCTGAAAGTAGTGTACCAAAAAGAATGAAGTCCAAAGATAGCCGAGCTCCAGGGAGG